TTATTACAGGACACAAATGTGTCCTCTATTTTAAAAATTGTGTCACTATTTAATCATTTGCATTTATAAAAAAGGGAACATCAGAATAAACAACTGCTAAATGGTGCTGGAGAGCTCTGAACCAATTTCATTTTCAGGGTTTGGAACTCTCAAGGAAGTCAATACATGCAAGAAAATGAATCTCCTTTTGCATCTCTTTCTATTGGCTATTCATCAATATAGAAATGATCATATTAACAGTCATAGATTTAGCCCTTGAGCAACCTGGCACTTAATCGCAGAGTAAGACATTTTCCTCCTCTATTTCTTTTTAAAAATAAAAACAGCATTTTATGAGTATTTTCTAATTATGAGAAGAAATAATGCTCATCTAGAAGATTCAGAAAATAAATAAATGTTTAGGAAGTAAAACAAAGAAACCCCTCTTTTAATCTTATATTCCTCACCGGTATGGTCCCAATTTTTTGTTCCCCTTCATAGTAGCTATCTCTCTTTCCTCACCTCTCATTCTCAAATCTACTCCAATCAGGGCTCTGCCCCCACCACCTCCTTCTTCCTCCAGGCACTTCATCTGCTGGCTTTTGTGATACCACACTCTGGTTTTCTTCCACCTACTTTATTGGTCTCTCCATAGTCTCCTCTGATTAAAATAATTTAATCAGACCTTTAAATGTTAGAATGTTCTTCTTATTTACGCTCTCCCTAGGTAACCTCAACCAGTCTCATGGCTTGAAATACTATAAATATACTAACTCTCATATCTTCAGATCTGACCTTACTCCATTAAGCACCAGATTCATACATTCAACAGCCTACTGACATTTCCATAGGGACATGTCTAAAACAGAATTCTTAATTCCCCAAACTCAGCCACATTTCACAAACATTTCACAACCCACAAATGATTGCTCATTCTGTCTTCTCTACCTTGGTGATAGCTACTTAATCCAAATAACTTGGAGTCATACTTGACTTCACCCCTTTCCTCATTCTCACATCCAAATCGCATGCAGTAAACCAACTCAATCAGCCCACTTTTTTTNTTTCCTCATTCTCACATCCAAATCGCATGCAGTAAACCAACTCAATCAGCCCACTTTTTTTTCCTATCATACGTTAAATGCCTTTCCTTTTGAGTCAGAAACATTAGGCACTTTAAAAACCGTCATGAATTATTAAATTCATCCTATATTTAATTGCTACTTTATGATCAAATTTTCTCTATTTGTGGTAGGGTTAATGAGTTTTTTTCCAGCTGAGTTTTGTTAAAATTCTCATATCAGTTGGAACCCTCCCAGAGAAATATTTCTCACCTATTGATATTCCACTAGAAAGTGTAGAACTTTCAGCTTGGCCTCGAGATGGTGCATGGGGCTCCATGACGCTATCATCTAATAGATGTCTTGGCCCTGCATTTGGGAACGTTGCACTCTTAAATTCTGCTGTGTTCATTTTATGAATGAAACTGGAAACAGAGAAATATTTTTCATGCCTTTTATTACTGTTACTAAGTCAGCGTATAAAAGATATTCTTATATAAAGATTCAGGATATAAAAGATTTACCTGCTATCCTGAACTTACTTCTGAACACTTATAAACACATGGATTTTGAACACACAGATTTTGGCATGAAAACCTCAAACCAATAGTTTAGGGAATTTTATTTTTAAGGAAACCTGGCCATACCTACCTATATAACTAGAAAACAGTTTAAAGTAATTTTATCTTGAGACTCAGGTTCATTAAAAAATTGTTTTCAGGCCAGCCCGGTGGCGCACTGGAGAGTGCGCCGCTTGGGAGTGCGGCGGCGCTCCCGCCGAGGGTTCGGATCCCATGTGGAGACCGGTTCCCACTCACTGGCTGAGCGCGGTGCGGGTGCAACACCGAGGGTTGCGATCCCGTTACCGGTCAGTAAAAAAGACAAAAAGGAAAAAAAAAATTGTTTTCATGTTCACTTTTGAAGAATATTTAATTTTCATAAAAATCATAGCAAAGGTGAACATAGGTCCCCTTTTTGAGAAAACAATATTGCAAAACTAATGAATTTAAACAAAAAATCAGTTTCTCTTTCTTTATGTTTAGGAATAAACAAAATAATTTTTGTAGACCTTAATTTATGACTTATTTTGGTTAAGACAAACGATGACTATCTTAAATAAAGGCTAGAATTTAAAAGAAAAATGTTATATCACTATCCTGATTTTATTTATGATGGCTTTCTATAATGTTCATTTATCTCTCCCAAATACAAGGCACTGTTGAGAAAAGCTCATTTCCAAATTCAGGTTAAAGAAGAAATAAATGCTTTCAGGTAAACAAGATGTTTTACTGAATCAGAAAAAGACTGTGGTTGTTTTAAAAAACCACCAACTATGCAAGGACACTATTTTCTATTTAACCAATAAGTAGAAAACAAATAGAAAATAAACATAAATCCAACTACACACAACTTAAAAATTTGAAAGATAAAATTATAAATGCTGACTTATAACCCAAGCTATGGCACTTCCTATGTCCGTGTGGAATCAGGTTCCGAGGGGATGGGGGTGTCTGCGGGAGCAAGGCTCTTTCAGCTGCCACACTTTTTCTTCCACTTTGTGGTGATGCTGATACTTCAGGACCTAAGGGTTAAATTAAAAAGAAAAAGAGAGAGAGAGAGAGAGAGAGAGAGAGAGAAGATTATTTTATTTTTAATCTCTTGATATAAAATATAAAAAAAGTGGTTTAAATTTTAAGATAATATTAATGTTAGTTCTATTTAATTGACATGAAGATGAGAAATACTTATTTTCCAAGTCCTAAAACACACAATCCCAAACCACACACAATCCATTAATTTTTATCTATCTTACTTGCGCTAAGTAGAGACAGTTCAAATATTTTCTCCATTTACATAGGAAGAAGCAGAATTAGAAGAGATGGCTCAGGGTCTCATATCATGATAAGACAAAATCTAGACTAAACACACAGGTCTTCTAAGTCCTAGGTTCAATGCTCTTTTAATTTTATACATTGCTTCTTTACTCCTAATTTCAGATTCCTCTTAGGTAAAGAATGTGTTGGGTAGGTCAAACACTCAAGTTAGAAATTAAATCTATACAGACACTGTTCAAGCTTATGGGAATAGGGCCGGCCCGGTGGCGCATTGCTACAGTGCACCGCTTGGGAGTGTGGTGGCGCTCCCGCCGAGGGTTCGGATCCCACATACAGACCGGCGGCCGCTCACTGGCTGAGCGAGGTGCGGGTGCAACACCAAGGGTTGCGATCCCGTTGCCGGTCCCAGTCCGGTACGGGTGCGACACTGAGGGTTGCAATCTGTTGCCGGTCACAAAAAAAGGAAAAAAAAAAAAAAGCTTATGGGAATAAAAAAAATACAATTAAAAAGTACAAAGATTTGCAAGAAAGTGCTTTAAGAATTAAAGGAAAAGCAAATTTAAGAGATTTAGAATAAAATGTTTTTCCCTGCTTGTTCCCTCACTTCTTCACATCTTGTTAGAGAGGCCTACAAATATTTTTAGAACATACAATATAAGGCTTAGTGCAAAAGTCTGTACTGGGAATTTTTAAAAAGGTACTTATATTTACCACTTAGAACACTGAAATTTCTAGTGTAATTGACCCTCATTGCCTAGGACAGTGAATTTGTAATTTGGAAAAAAAAAAAAAGAATAAGCTATTGATAAATATTTATCTATTATTTTCTGTCATATCTATTTTCCTTGATTAGGTAGCATGTTTATTTGTACACTACTGACAAATTACAAACAGTTTTTTAATTAAAAAACCAAAAAAACCCAGATAAGACTCACAGATTTTAATACCAAAAATAATTTTTGCAATCACTATAAGATGTGTTAAGTATTTATTTACTTTGGAGTATATTCTTATTAGGCTATATTATTTATTATTTTATATGAGAAAACTATGCACTAACCTACTAAATCTTCCCTGGAAGCAGCAGATCGTGGTGTGCTTGTCCCTGGTTCTATCTTTAATGAAAGCCTGAATTTTAAAAAAGACAAAACACAGGATAATTAACACTTGACAAAATAATATTAGTCATGTATTTTCCCACAAAAAATGAAAACATTTTTATAAAATAATCTGAGCTATATATTTTTCTTTAAGAACAATCTTTAAGATGTTACATCTCCTATCTCTTTCATACAAAGCTGATCTTCTGGTTATTCTAGGAAATATTAAGAAGGAGAAAAACATTTAAAAAGTTGTATTTGAAAACACAAAAATTTTCCCAACTGCCCCAGAGTTGCCAAACAATTCAGCACATTTTAAGATATTTGATGTATGACTAAAAGATGATTTAACTTGAGCTTATATTGATATCTGACACTTAATTAAGGAACCTCCCCATAATGACTAAAAGATGATTTAACTTGAGCTTATATTGATATCTGACACTTAAATTCAGGAACCTCCACATATATTATTAAATATATTATGCAAATTATTTCTAAAATATTTACTGGATGGGCTTGGTTTGACTGTAACACTGAAAATTTTAAAAACACCTTGAGACTAACAATTCAACAAACCAACTAACACAACAAATCAAAAGAAAGATCTGTATAAATAAAAGGATCGTTTGCAAAATTCCAAGTGAATCCTTGTCCTACATCAAGGTTTATTAATTGGTATTTAGGTTCCATTTAAGATAATATATACAGTTTTCAGTTCCATAAGAGATTATGATTTCTATCATTGGAAGCTATTTCAGGAAAAAGGACACTAAAGCGGTTGTAGAAAATGCTTTGTTGTAATACACAAAGCCTAACACTACCAAGAATTTATCTGAAATTAATAAAGACTGTTTAAGCACTGTAATGACTGGAATTTTCAATTATACAAGTGGCATTCATAATAAATCTATTGTAGGCTCTTAAGTTATTATTTCTTTGATAATCTGAGAATTAAATATGATTATATTCCAATTATTTGACAATGTAAAAATAATGTATTGAATAGATGTATGATTAACCAGGACTTCCTGTTCTTTTTTTTTTTTTTTTTTTTTTTTTTTTTTTTTTTTTTTTTTTTTTTTTTTTTTTTTTTTTTTTTTTTTTTTTTTTTTTTTTACATAAGAGCAGTTTAATTATTTAGGCTGCAGACTGTACTGCAATTCATTCATTTGATAAATATTGAACACCTGTTTTGTGTCAGGCACTGTATTCTGCACTGGAATGTAAGAGACTAAGGCAGACATGGTGTCCCTGCTCTTCTGAAGCTTACAGTCTAGGGGATGAAAGACAAAGTAGTAAACAAAATAACTATAATTTCCTAACAGCACCAAAATAGAAAGAAACAGAAAGGGAGCTTATTAGGTGAATCACATTGCGATTGGTAGCAGCTGGTAACCGACAGCAGTATCAAAAGTAGAAGCATCTTAAAAAGCACAGCAGTGAAGGCTAGTCTGAGGGTTAGTTGCTTACAAAAATCATCAAAGCAACATGTAATAACAATGATGCCAATTCACTGAGAAAAGGTATGTTACATACTAAAATAACTTGGAAAGATTTTCATCCTGATTAAAAGACATGCGTGTAATTATCTATACTAACCACCTGTATAGACTGAGTGGACAAAAATAGAGGTCTTTGGATAAATGAAGTGTCATTTCTATTTAAATATTTTTCATCACAAATCCATTTTTTCTAACTAGTAATTATAATGGCTCTTATCTTAAAATCCTCTAATTTTCAACATTTAATTAGTAGGCTCATGCAACACAACTGCATCATTAGAAAAACAATCTATCAGTCTCCCACATGATGTCCTAACACCACCAAATGACCTGTAGTTCTCCAAGCACACTGTTTTTTATCCCTTTCCTATGATTATTCCACCTCTGGAATGCCTTTCTCCTTACCCTTCATGTGGGGCTAACTCCTCACCTGTTAAAATTCAGCCTCAGGTGACACTGTCTCCTGAACCTGTTCATGTTTCTCTTCTCTTTATTTTTCCCACTTAAAGCTGAGTTAGATCTCCCATTGTCTATGTTTCCATAGCATTCTGGGCATATCTCTATTTGTAGTACTGTTTGAAATGTTTTATAATTATCTGTTTTGTGGATGTGTCTTGCACTAGACTAAGTTTCTTGAGGGCAAGAACAATATCTTGTTTATTTTTAAAATCTCAGCAACTAGCACAGTATCTGGCCTATAGCAAAAGCTTAATAAATATTTGTTAAATGAATATAATGGGAAGGCTGCTCTGGTGCTAGCTACTCATGAAAACAAAAGTCAATAATAATAGCATCAGCTTCCCTACAAAAATGAAGGTATCATAAAATGTCAGTTTATAGACAGGACTACTTAATGGTTTCAATGGCTAAGTCTATCCTTTCAGCAAAGTAAAAATTTACCATCCTCAATAAATGGTGCTGGGAAAACTGGACTTCTGTATGTAAAAGAATGAAACTGGACCTGCACCTCTCACTGTATAACCCATTTTGAGTTGATTTTGATAAAGTCTTAAATATAAGACCTGAAACCATAAAATTACTTAAGGAAAACATAGGGGAAACACTCCAGGAAGTGGGACCAGGCAAAGACTTTATGAATAAGACCTCCAAAGCACAAGTAACAAAAGCAAAAATAAACAAATGGGATTATATCATATTAAAAAGCTTCTGCACAGCAAAGGAAACAATCAACAGAGCAGAAAGACAACCTATGGAATGGGAGAGAATATGTGCAAACTATATATCCAACAAGGGATTAATATCCAGAATATATAAAGAACTCAAACAACTATACAGTAAAAAAACCCAAATAATCTAATTAAAAAATGGGCAAAGGAGATGAATAAACACTTTTCAAAGGAAGATATACAAATGGCCTACTGGTACAGGAAAAAATGTTCAACATCACTAGTCATCAGAGAAATGCAAACCAAAACCACATTGAGATATCATCTTGCCCCAGTTAGAATGGCCATTATTAAAAAGAACAACAAATGCTGGCAAGGATATGGAGAAAGGGGAACTCTTCTACCGTAAATTAGTACAGCCATTATGGAAAACAGTATTGAGGTTCTTCAAACAATTACAGATAGAACTACAATACAATCCAGCAATCTCACTACTGGGCATATATCCAAAGGAATGGAAATCATCATATCAAAGGGATACCTGCACTCCCATGTTCATTGCAGCTCTATTTACAATAGCCAAAATATGGAACCAACCTAAATGTCCATTGACAGATGACTGGATAAGGAAAATGTGATATACATACACAATGGAATACTATTCAGCCATAAAAACAATGAAATTCTGCCATTTGCAGCAACATGGATGAGTCTGGAGAAAACTACGTTAAGTGAAATAAGCCAGACAAGGAAAAAGAAATACTGCATGTTCTTACTTATAATTAGGTGGAAAGAAGAAATAAAGAAAAGAAAGAAAGAAAAGAAAAGAAAAAAGGGAGGGAGGGAGGGAGGGAGGGAAGGAAGGAAGGAAGGAAGGAAGGAAGGAAGGAAGGAAGGAAGGAAGGAAGGAAGGAAGGAAGGAAGGAAAGATCTAAACAATTCCTTTAACTTTCAGAATACGAGAGATAGGGGTGAGGTGGGGGGAGGGGTGGGGTTGGGAAGAGATAGGTTGGGTAAAGGGCATAAAGAAAAGACATGATTTGTGATAATAATATGCTTATAATAAATAATATTTAAAAAATTTACCATCCTCTATAATCACACAAAATTTTCCTAGACTTCACTTCTACTAAATAAACTTTAACTTTTTTAAACACAATGATAAGTTTCTTGAGCCAGATAAAGAGATATTACTCATATTTTGGGTTTTAAGATATCTGTTCTGTACCTCACAGGACAAAACATAAGTGTTTATTAGGTATAAGTTCTATGTCAGTAATTAAGAGAGATGGGAAAATAGTGGTAAATATAAGATACAGACCACCAAACTTGAGAAATTTACAACCTACGGCAACAGATTTGTGAAACAATTCCAGCCTTATAAAGCTGATCCACTGACCTCATACAATTTCAAATTAGTTACCATGTAAAAACTTCATAAGGGCTGGCCCGTGGCTCACTCGGGAGAGTGTGGTGCTGATAACACCAAGGCCACGGGTTCAGATACCTATATAGGGATGGCTGGTTGGCTCACTTGGGAGTGTGGTGCTGACAACACCAAGTCAAGGGTTAAGATCCCCTTGCTGGTCATCTTTTAAAAAAAACAAAAAACCAACTTTTTGTAGAACACAAGTTGGTAGAGAAATATAAAGTATTAATATTATGGTGTGGGGGAGAAGACAGCAATAAAAGTGTTTTCAAATATTAATAAAATTTTAGATTCAAATATATATCCAGAGCATCTTAATATATTTAATATTTGAAGAAAAGTTATTTCTAGCTGTTTTCCAGAATTTCTAACCTTTTATTGGAACTAATTCTGTTCTGCAAAATTAAAAAAAAATTCTTGAAACCTATGGAACAAGGAAGCTGATAATTAATACCAAGGAGGATAAGAAAAAAACGTTTTTATATAATGAACTAATACTGAAAAATAATCTAGTCTTTCATTTTCATAAATTTTTAAAACATGACGTTTTATTAGAAAACATATTTGCAGAAGACACAAAATTCAATTTGAAAGCTTGGAAACAATTGGCATAATAAAACTAAGCAAATTAAAAAAAAAATTAACAAATGAAGCCAAAAGAAAAATGACAAGCCTCAAGAGAAATAAGTCCTTTATCCTCCCACCTTTTGAAAAAACCCAGCAGTTATGATGGAAAGCATTCCACCAAAAGATAAAAAGGGTTAATAATTTAAAAATTTCCCATCCTTGGGCAATATTGTGGATGGTAAGGAGAAAGATATGAATATCAGCTATTTTAAAAGTGAGTTTAAAAATCCTTTATAAAGGACTTGCTATAATATATAGAAAAGTTTAAGTACCGTGCTGTATTGGAGAAATATGTCTCTTACCCAGAGGCAAAAAGGTTCAACAATCTCTCAATCCACAAAAACAACTGGAAAGAAGCTCAAAGACACATCAAAGAATTACCTTTAAAAAGGGAGTAACTTTTCTATTTTGTAGACTGTTTTGTTAATTTTCTATTAGAAGATAAATTTCCATAAAGATTCAATGATTGAATATAGGAGGAAAGGAAGAAATTCAAATTAGAACTATCAAAAATCAGCTCTTTACAACCTGAGAAAAATAAAATACTTTTTAATAAAAAAAAAAAGGTACTTATATGTTGGCTCAATGACATGAAGTGATTAAAAAGAAATAGGTACAGGTAAGTCCTTTTATCTTTGTCAGCATACCACTGGATTAGGCACTTGTATGGTACAATGCAGGATTAAGATGTTTAAATACATGGGGATGGAAGGGTGGAGGACAGGACAAAGTTATACAAACCATTTTTGAAGATCCAACCTACTTGTAATTATCGTCTTCCACAAACTTTTGTAGTTCTTCTATATACTGAACAGAGTTCAGGTACTTTTGGACATGAGGCAACATGGGAATATCTAGGCAAAAGGTGACAGATAATTATCTGGTAAAGTACATCTTAACCAGAACATTAAAAGTTAAGCTGAGAAAAATAATTTAAAAGTAAATTAGGGACACACAGCACCACAATTTAAATTAACTCTAAAAGGACATTACTGAGGTAAACTTTATTTAATGTGAAACTGAAGGTTTTTAGAAAACCTTAGATTTAGAAAATTTATTAAATTTAGAAAATCATAGTTGCATGCTGTTTGTACAGATATTTTTAAAAGTCCCACATATTTGAGAAATTTCATAGGGAAAAAATCAGGGACTTCGCCATGATTTATTTTCAGACCTCAATGAAATGCAAGATGTGAATGCAGTTATTTTTCTTTTTAAAGAAACCTGATTCCAATTTGTAAGCATGGTTTCTATCCTTTCTTTACAAATTTCAAACAAGATTAACTTAACATTACAATTTGGTGTTATATTAAAAAAAATGGAGAAAAGGACAGAGTCAGAGATTATCTAATTTCAGTAAGGTTCTATCCCACACACACTTTTAGGAAGTTTTTGAAGTCTTGAAAGTATAAATGCACATAAGTAAAGTCAGATTTAAGACAAATTTATTTGAAATAAATCAGATAATGTAAATTCACTGTCTTTTAATACCACAAAAACTATATGTTGACAGCCTAACTTCATTCCCTACCAAATTAAAAGCATCCAAACATTTTTTTCAAAAAAAAAAAAGAAAAAGAAAAAGAAAAAGCTATTCTAAGCATTGGGGCTTACTTAGCTCTTTCCATGTCATTCCGTAAAATGTCACTGTCTTTTAATACCACAAAAACTATATGTTGACAGCCTAACTTCATTCCCTACCAAATTGAAAGCATCCAAACATTTTTTTCAAAAAAAAAGAAAAAGAAAAAGCTATTCTAAGCATTGGGGCTTACTTAGCTCTTTCCATGTCATTCCGTAAAATGCACCTTGAACAAAAATTGGTTATTTACTCAATAACTCAAATTGGTTATCTGACTCAAGAAAGCTAGTCAATTGTCACTAGAATCAAGGATGCCTGCTAGTTCCCTAACTGAAAAGAATATAAGAACTATTTACATAATAGATCAGGGAGATCAAATGAGATGAAAATAGAAAATAAGTTTGTAAACTATAAAGGGCTAAATAACTGTGAGATGGTAATATTACTTATTGCCCCTGTGCTCTGTAAGCAAATTTCCTACAAAATAACAGAAAAGCAAGAGATAAAAGTAAAAATTTTAAATATTAAATATTTCAAGTCCTTAAAAGTATGATCTGAAACAGGATGCTAAATAGTAAATGATGAAATAAAATAACCATTATTTTTCTTTATGTTAGGATGGAAATAAGAAATTGATGTTCCTTGCTGTATGAAAAGTGGTCATCAAAATACATGTAAATGAATCAATGTAATCGCATCATGGTAATGGCTTACCGTTATCCCCCAGAAACTTACCATACTCACAGGACTGCTGTAAATCGGAAATTATTCGAAGAATGTTATTCATTAAATTTGATCTTTGCTCATTTTCTAGAATGCTGCCAGTTGATGGGTATGCTGAATCAATGTATGTCAAATCTGACAAATAGATACCTGAAACAAAATTAGATAAATGAATGTTTTCCTACTTGTAGTTTGGGAAAGTATGACAAGGTGAAGGGGGAAAAAACCTAGTTTATAGATATATTCTAATATATGCCATATTTAGAATACATTGTTATTAATACACTGAAGCGTTATTAAAGCATGACCACTGGGACCAAGGTTTCTGTAGAGCTGGAGTCAGACATGCACATAATATGGTTTTTTGTAAATGTCTTCTTATGATATCATTTTCAAGTATGGTTCAAGGCTGGAGTAAGAAACGCCAGCACATATGGGACTTAATGGAAAGAAGGTGAGCTTTTGAACTGTATAATGGAGATGGTTACCTCTGAATCTCAGTTTTTACATCTATACAACCAGTACCTATCTTCCAAGATGTGCATATAGCCAGAAGAAGTTAACTTAGCTAGCCTAGCCAGTATCTACCATAGGGAAGTTATTTAATATTAGTTTTATACTTCTTTGCCTTGAATTGGTAACTACTGTCATTTGAGTCTTAACTACTTTGAAAAAAAATTAGCTCAATCTAGTAGAAATAGCTCTATAGATCAACAAATGGATTTCTGAAACAGTTCATGTGACTACAAATTCTTACAAAGTTAACTCTAACCCTCCCCTACATTCTCTGTACCAATAAAAATAGCACATCCTCCAAAATAATTTCGATATACTAGTCCTGAACATGGACGGTCACTCATTTAAAAATATTTCCTGAGAGTTTACTATGCACACGTAAAATGTATAAGACAACTATAGATAGAGAGAAAAAAATATACTTTCCTACTTTTACCTCACTACTCCATGTTTATGAACTCACAGGGTAAATGCAACCAAAATGATGTACTCACTACTTTCCAAATAAGTCCTATATTTTCACTCATACCACTTTCTTCTACCTTGAATTTTTCTAGACTCATCTCTGCCCATCCAAATCTTATGTCTTATACGAGGGGTCTTCAAAAACTTCATGCAAAGATTCCTATCATCTTTTAATTCTATTTTTCCATGAGCTTTTTGAAGTACCCCTTGTATATTCAGTTCAGTGTCAACTGTTTTTACTTTTCTCAGATTCCAAGAAAGGAATTTAGAAACTGTCTAGTCTAACCTCCTGTTTTTTATAGATGAACCTGAAATCCACAAATATTAAAAGGTTGTGTCTAATGCTGTACAACCTGTTACTGACAGAGCTGGGTATCTCAGAGGTTTCACTAGTAGCCTAGATTTTTTAATTTTTTAATTACATTCTGTTGTAAAGTTGTACATTATCTATACCACTCCCTTAATAACATTTGAGACTTCACAATCTCTAAAATTACTTAAATCTTCTCATATTTATATCTTACCTGCTCAAGACTATATATTTATTTAAGGCAGTTGCTCTATCTTGCACTCTAAGAAAAAGAAAATCCTGTGCAATGTTTTGACAACAGGTGCTTAAAACAATGTAAAAAGTTGGCATGGCAATCCTTTTACTCATCCTAGTAGCATTCATTTTCCCTTCAGCAAATTTTTACAGTATTATTTAAGCCATGTATCATAAATACTTTTACTTCTTTAGAGAATCAATACTTTTTTCTCCCTATGAGAAAATAATAATTTTCTCCCTATTAGTCCAAATAAATCTACAGTCAAGGTCCTTCCCACTTCATCCAACCTCAGAGAAGAATCGCTCTCTTCTTTCTAAATCTAAACTGTGATTTTGAATGTAACCGATATTCCCTCCTTCAAAATACCCACTGTTGCCTATTCTATCACTCACCCTCCACTGGCTCCTTTCCTAGAGCCAATACACACATTTAAATCTCCCCTATTTAAGAAAACAAAATCAAAACATCCCTTCCTTCAAATCTAATCCTCTCCTCAAGATAGAACCCATGCCTCCCACCCTTTAACAATCACCTTGAAAGAGAAACACCAGGATCATACACTTATTTATTTCATCCTTCATTCTATTTTTAATGTAATATTTAATACACATAAAAGTTTACATGTGTTAGGAAAAAATGTGAAAGACTCTGAAATGGGTAAAAAAGATTACTAGGTATATCCTGTCTCCAGTGCATCCTGTTAGCCCTTGAGCTATTTTACAACTCTTTAAGTTGTTGAAAACTGGCAATAATACAAATTCTTATCCATAAAAATGCCAATGAATTAATCCAGTGGAATGTAATTGATAATTAACCCTGTAAATGTTGATGAATTTTGCAACTATTTCTACATTTATTTCAGCATTCGTGACTGTCTATATGGGTGTTACTTTTTTTTTTTGTATTTGAATAAAAGATTTATTTTCTTCTCAGGAAAAATAGGAAATTAGGGAAACACACTACATTTTACAACTCACAGTAAATTGTAGTTGATCCTAACCCTTCTTGGTACAGCTGTCAAAAGCATTAGCTGTTTAACCTGAACCAGAGTGTTCATCCCTTGGTAGATGTACATGGACAACACTAGAGAACTGCATGTTTTCCCTGTGAGAAGCACAGGACAAACAGAAGTTGCTGAGAAAAACTATCTTTCCAAGCAGCCCCTCTCTTTCCATTTTGGAGGATTTGCCTGAACTATGCAGCTAGGCAGCACTTAGACTTGCCCCCTCTTTCCCAAACCACATGGGGCCCCAAGCCCTCACTGCCTGGGACCTGAAGTACTAAGATTCAGCAGTCACACCTAGTGAACTGGTAAGAGGGGTCCCATAAAAACAACAATTTACATTTATGCTCTTATTTCCACAACTGGATATGGGGAGACAGGCCTTTTAGAAACCTTAACTAGATCTTAAGACTCATTAAAAACTTATATGTGTGTTACTTTGAATTCTCCCTTGAAATGGTTATATCTTCCTTATTCCTTTATACATTTAAATGATTTAAATAAAATCTTTGACATGTACTCATTTCATGTGTGTGAGAATCATGATTTTATCTTTTAAAAAATTACCTTTAACATGTAGTTCCTGTTGTTATCAAACAACATAATAAGCATTTGTGAAAGACAAGTTAACTTAAAAACATCCGTAAGGAGAGCTAAAAGATTCTTCAAGGAAATGGCACAGGGATGTCAGCACATGTAAAATGATAATAGCAATAAAAGATATATTAAAAGTCATATAGAAAAGGTTAAAAGAGAAGTCTCAAAGTTCAATACAAGAAAACGTCATTCCCTGATGGGATCAGAGAAGGCTTCAAGGAAGAAATGGGATTTGAGCTGGGTATTAATGGGCCAATTCTTGCCATTCTTTTACCTTATCACTAAATCCAGATGACAGTGATTTAGTATGAAAAGCTAATGTAATATAGCTCATTAATAATTTTTATATTGGTTACATGTTAAAATTTTTAATATATTGGGGTAAATAAAATGTTACTTAAAAACAAAACAAGGGCTGGCCCCGTGGCTCACTTGGGAGAGTGTGGCACTGGTAGTGCCGAGGCCGCGGGTTCAGATCCTATATAGGGATGGCCGGTGTGCTCACTGGCTGAGCGTGGTGCACACCACACTGTGCCAAGGGCTGCAATCCCCTTACTGGTTAAAAAAAAAAACCCAAACAAAACATCATCATCATTGATACTGTTGCATCTATTTGTATGTTCCTTTCCTACTTCATCTCCCTGCTTCCAGTCCAAAAGTAACCACTATTCTGAATTTTTAAATTATTCCCTTATTTTTCCCAAGACACGTCTACATCCCTGCACAATATATTATTTATGTTTGCTTATTTTTGAGCTTTAAAAATCATATTTTATGTATGCGTGATTAAATAAGGTAACAGTATTTGTAAAGTTAGAAAAGCGTCTGGTACACCCTAAGTGATTTATAAGCACATACACATACCTAGGAGCAGAGCTGCTAGGTTAGAAAGTATATTAATATTCAACTTTAAAAGACGGTGCCACATTGTTTTTCAAAGCTATATCAATTCACATTCCCATTGACAATATATGAGTTTCTCCTGATCCACATGAACACTTGGTATTATCGATCTTAATTTCCGCCAATCTTGTGTGTATAAAATGGTATCTGTTTGTGTCTTAATTTTCATTTCCTTGATTAGTAATGAGGTTAAGTTAGTATTCCCCATGGTCTTTCCTTAATTTTCTCGTTCTACATGTACTTTTTCTGTAACATATTAATTATGTAGCTTCAGCTAGCACCTAATTGCTGATGAGTTTTCAAATCTCTTTATAGAACTAAGCTCCTGACTTTTGTTTTCAATTTAACATGCCAAACTAACCATTATCTGTCCCCAAACACCTGTTAGTCCAATATCCTACCTTGGTTAGTGATATTATTAATTGCTCAGATTAGAAAGCTAAAATTGCTCAAATTAAAAAAGCTCAGGAAGAATTTACTATTTTTTATTTTTCCCAAATTAAACTATTAGTGTAGTTTAATCACTGAATGATCAAGTAATGTTTTACAGGATGTAAATCAGAGGCTAATTAAACTATTAGTGTAGTTTAATCACTGAATGATCAAGTAATGTTTTACAGGATGTAAATCCAGAGGAAGCTGGCAGCCCATCTGTTCCAATGTTTTTAAAATCAGGAAATATCACAGGAAAAATCTAAATCACTCTCTTTTCCTGAAAAATGAGAATATCTGGCAACATTGTCTCATAATCTTTTTTTTAGCTACAATGAGGTACAGCTGAGAAGGTACAGGTTTGCTTTAAATTAACCATAAGGATGCCAGTTTGTCATAACCTTCATTTTCCTCTATTATCTTACTTCTGGTTTACATCACTTATTTATATTACCTGCTTCATTCTTGTGAGCATTTGCTTTTATAGGCTCTTGAGTTTGCAATTCTTGGTATAACTATGTGTGACACAGGAATTCAAAGAAACAATTCTGTGAAAGATGTAGAAATTAAGCTCAGACTTTAAATAAAGGATGTGGACTGACAAACACTCGATGATAGGACCTATCAGAAAGAGAAAAATAGCACTAACTAAGGCAACAAAGAAGGGAAATCACATGGTATGTATA